TAATTCATAATCTAAAGGCTCTTTATCCCTGGAAATGCTGTGTCTTAAAATGAAAGGAAAATTAAATAGACCACACTTAGAAGACCTGCTGCATTTTCAGTACCATGGACAGAACAGTCCATGTTTTTAAAGTTTTCCTTTAAAACATGTCATATTCACTCCTCTGTTCATAATCAGTAAGGGCAAGAACATTGGATAGATAAGTCAAGTACAATGTACATTTTGTACCCCCCCCCTTTGTATATTTGACTGTGCGATATTGTCCATCTTCTTTTTAGCTGCTGATATACAAGTAAGAAAGAAGGTAAAGAAGCCGGATCTGGACACTCTTCTCAGCATCATTCAGCAGCAGGAAGACAAACTAGTCACTCAGCAGGAGACCATGCAGGAACTGACACTCACCATCAACCAAACTGAGCAGGAACTGGACACTGCACATCATGACATGGCCGTACAGAACCAGCTGGTTCAGCAACTCGTGGCAAATATCTCCACACAGGTATGCATCTTACTTCTCAACACTTAAGGAGTAGAATCCTGCTTAAGTGATGATTGTATTACAAATTCTTGAAATTAATGATCATACAAACATTAATACAATGTAATACCACAGCAGTTTCACCTATTATGCACCACTAAATCTACCTCATGCAAAACAGGTTTAAATTTTATAGTTTACATGTATTTTGTAATTGCAAATATCATCTGCTACCAGAGGGAAGATTTCTTAGATGTTATTGCTGGTGGACAAATGGAGAAAGAGGAAATAGCAGCCCAGTGCAGCAACACCATTGCTAACCTCACCTCCATCCTGGAGCTGCTCTCTCTCCCAGACACAACCACTACACAACAACCAAAACCAACTGGTTCTCCAAGTAAGGAGCCATTTTGTCATCAATGTTTCTGATATGAAGAGCCAATGAGTACGATTTTGAGTGAAAGCTGTGCATGTGTCCTACAAAATTCTGTTTTTTTTATCTTGATCCTTGTCAACAGTTGTGTCTGAAATAAAGCCTGCCTGAAATTTCTAATAGACTAAGTACACCATCAAAATTGTAGAAAAACCTATGACCCATGTTGCATAATTATGAATTAACTATTAGCTCTATCTTGCATGATCCTGACAAATTCATGATCAGGTGACTGCCATTCCATACATGTCATTCTGCTAAATGTACAAATGTAATAAAATCTCTAACATTGTTGTGTACCCCAGCTAAGGAGACAGTTCAGCTTGCCTGCTCTCCTGGATACCTGAAGTTTGGTGCCAAGTGCTACAAACTTGGCAAAGGACAAAGGATTTACAACGTCAGTATTGTTTACATTCTGCTTATTTGTGTTAAACTTTATAGGGGGTTTAAAAACAACAGAAACAGAGTGACTATCATAGGCTTTCCAAGAAAAGCAATATTATCATAATTTACTGAATGCACTGCAAGCTCTAATTAAGTAAACCTATCCATGGCCAGAACCTATAATGCAAGGAACAAACAAGTTTACAATAGCATGCATATAGTACAATGGTTAACCCCTGGACCAAGAGGTTAGGATTGTGAATCTTGTAGCTCACCTCAGTTACAAACATCTGGAAAGGGTTGCAGTTCTTAGGAAATAATCATGGTCCACTGCTCAATACTTGTCAAAAAGAGCTAGGGGAAGTTTACCGGACAGTACAAGAAACCTGTTAATAAAATTATTTTTATTAGCTTCTTTCTTCTCTGTTATGACCAGTTGAAGATAAGTTCACAGTGAATTAACTGATTTGAGATCACTTTCACCAATGTTTATCTTTCACACACACAGAGAGCGTATTCTCAGTGCCAGGGAGATGGAGGTGAACTACTGACATGGAAAGACGGCCATGGCTCCCTAGGGGAGCTGGTTGACAGACTGCAGACTCAGAATGGTACATTATAAAACAATCAAACCTCTAAGATGTATAAAGTCAATGCCGGCATCAATCGGCATCTTCTTTAATAAATGGTTTCTTTCCACCACCAGGACTTCTGCATGTAGCTAGAACTTTGCAGTTGCCTTAAACCAATGATTAGCTAGGAGTGTTACAACCCAGGATATCGATTGTTTACATTAGCACATGATAGAAAAAAAAGGGAAAAAAACTAGAAAACTCTCAAAAACACAGTTTTTCAAGGTGGCAGATATATGTGAACCAGTGGATAGATGTGAAAGAATGTTAACGTATTATAGAAATGACTTATTCTTCAATCCATGCTTTTTCTTCACCAGGTGCACCACTATTCAACCAAATTTGGGTGGATAGCACTAAACTTAGGATACATACTGGCAAGACCAGGAGCTGCTGGATACATCGTATCCGAGTTTCCGAAGTTGTGGAGGAAGACTGCAGAGTGAGGAAATACTTTATTTGTAGAAAAGGTAAATCTTTTCCTTTCACCCTCAATCAAACTGATATATAGATAAGACTTCACAGTTGTTTCAACGAAAAGCAAACTGGGGGACAAAATGACAATGGGGAGAGAAAGAGAGGAGCAGAAAGTGGGAGCCAGGGAGAAAGCATGAAATTGAGAGACAAAGATTTGGGTGGTGGCATGCCTAACAATATCAGTTAACATTCATTATAATTATGTTCTGCTTATAACACAAGCCAAATTTTCTTACTTGATGACAAATGCTTAGGTGTAAACAACATTTTCCTGACATCAGATTTTGATTATATGAACAGGTTTTGCCTGTGCTTCATCTAGATACAAGTGTTACAGCAAAAAAAATCATTTTTTCTCTATAAAATGGAATGTTTGTTAATTTTAATTCTATCTGAATTGAACTTAAGTTTGAAACTTTATTTTGGATATTGGTAATCTGTCCAATGTACTACATGTACTACATATATATACAGTGGCATCCCTAAGAGTACATTTTGTATATTTACCACAAGATTAAATACCGGTAACATACTATTTATGGCACTAGCAAAATGTTCAAGGTTACATATTAACAGTTACTGTTTTGTACATATTGATACATTGACAGAGTTGGAAGCTGTTCAAAGTCAGACAACTGAAAGGATCCCTACAGCATCAATGACCAAAACACCCACCACACCAAAGATGCCCACCACGGTACAGACCACTGAAATGCCTCCCAAACCACAGCCAACCGAAAAACTCCCCACAACCAAGGGGACTGAACAGCTTAGCTGCACTGGAGGCTTCCTCCTATTTGAGGGCATGTGCTACAAACCAGTCGACCATGCCTTGCCTAACCAGGTGGGTTCCTTCATCTGGTAAAGGAGACTGTGCATTACTGCATGTTTTTCACTGTCAATGTCACTGAGTTGTAAAGCAAGATTGTTGATGGAACCAACACTGGTACATGTAATTTAACTGAGACACAGCAATTCGACTTTGAATCTAAAGGTTCTGGGTTGAAATTGGCTAGTAGGCCCCAAAGTTGTACACTTACGAAATGTACTTAACATGGTTTCCACACTTAGCTTGGTTAATTTGGGTACCTACATGTGTAGCTTCAAACCATCACTCAAGTGGGAACTTCAAGTTCTGAGTTTGAGGAGAGCCACACCACCACATTTATCAAAAAGAGTAGTGGACATTTCCAGTGTGAATGTATCAAACCTTACACTCTGGTCTGAAGCAGTCTCTACTTACTGTATAAAACTTGTTTCCCATATTCACTCCAGGTTATGCAAAACAAACTTCTCTGCCCACTGTTGCTGTAACTAACAACAAAATTTTCTCCACTACCATAATAACTTTAGGAAGCCAAGTCCTTCTGCCAGAGGGAAGAAGCCCGCTTGATGGAAGCGAGTGATGACCCGGAATGGGGACATGCAATGCATCGAGCCATTCAGCAGTTTCCAGGTCTGTAAATGTTGTTCGTAAGTTACAAGACTTTTTTGGACAAAAGGCACAAGACATGTTGCTTTTCCAACTTGCCTGCACTTTCCACGATCCACTGTCTTTCAAATACAACTTTCTTTGAATTGTACTTCTCTGAAACAGGGACACTTACATGTACATGTACACTTTTCGTGACATTCAAGGTTGACTCTTTACACCTGACAACACTTGTTCATCTTAGTTTTAAGAACATTCAGGCAACCGTTCATATTTTATTTCAGCAGTGCCACATGATGAATGTAATATAGGTTAGACCATTAAATTAGTTAGTTATACATGTAACGTTACATTCCATGACTTTTAATTTTTTCTCTCTAGATATATCTCTACCACAAGACATGTGGGTGGCCCATGTTGACAATGATGGAAGCAGTCCCTACAACCCTGCTGGGAGTTACATGACCGACGACAAAGTGTGTTGGCTGCGCTTCATATATAAACCCCACAGTGAACCATGGAGCTGTGACAGCCTCCATCACTTCATATGTGAAAAAGGTAACCACTCCTGTTGTGCAAAAGATGTAGGCTTTTTATCATGAAAGATTTTTCAAATTTATGACATTTATTAAGAGATTGCACATTCACCATGTTATCTAGACATCAGCAAGCTTGTAAAATTAAATGACTTTAACTTAAACGTAACTATACAAAATATATAAAGCAACAGGTTATAGAATTTTGAAAGAGCTAGGCTTTTCAGGTAGCATCCACTATCTTTCATCAAGTGACTAAGAATGTCTGTAATGTCTGCGTCCTTGGAGAATTTATCCAGTAACTGTTGGCTGTTTTACTTTGTATTACCTGGTACATACCATTTTACCTGGATGTCTAACCTTCAGCAAAGTAAATCTACATGTATTAGAAACATGTGAAAGTAACAAGACAGCTACATGATGATCACAACCAATTTTGCCATTATTTATATCAGAGTGTTGTCTGATTGTTTTCCTACAGATCCAGTGGTGTCTGGTTCACAAACAGAGCCAAAGCAGACAACTCCAGGTAAAAATCTTCTTTGCTGTCTGTGCTACATTGAGAAATACAGTTGGATCCTAAATGTATTTGATATTTAGTAGAATCCATTGTTATCATCCCAAACCTTCTTCATTTGCATGTAGATCCTCTTACCATGCTTTAGTGGTGTCATGTACTTAACAAAATCATTAACTTGCAAATTCCCAAAATTCATTTCTAAAAACTTAGTATGTAGTAAATGTTTAAAAAAAACTGAAGAGTTGTCTTGATACTGAATTCTCCCATTGTTTTATGATGGATGACCGCCTCTTATGGTACATTGACACAACTGAGTGCATACAGGCATGACAGAGTGATGGTTAAAAATAATGTTGATATTGTCCACAGGCAAACCAGAATGTCCTGCTCACAGTAGCTGGACAGACTGTGGATCCGCCTGCCCTGCATCATGTGACATGCTTGGTTCTGACGTCATCTGCACAGCAGTTTGTATCCCTGGCTGCCAATGTGATGATGGGTACGTGCGGGATGGACTGATGAACTGTGTGCCAAAGGAACAATGCTACAATAGTGGCTGCAACCACAATGGCAATCATTATGATGTAAGTTTATCCACAATATTAGTGTTCTTTTGTATCATGAAGACCTCGCAATACAGCATTCTCTTTGTGGGCATAAAAAACATTTACATTTTTGTAACTGAAACTTTTGACAACCTTTTATTAGTACCTTTTTGTATGACTGATATATGGAATAGCTGATATCATCTAGCCTATTTTGTCAAATAGTCCATTAGTAATAATGGCTGCAAAATAAAGGAATTTGATACAACTTATATATAATTAGTTCATTCGTATGGGATTTAGAATCAATTCATTTGCACTGTTACAGTTACGATCAATGAATCCAGCCAAAATGTGTATCTTGCCATCAACATTAAAATTAAAAGTGAATCTTAAAACGTCTAAGATACACTTGTAGCTCTTATAATTATGCATTGGAAATACTAGCATTGCCATTTTCATCTGTCAGTACTCTAACTTCATGCTGATTGTATGGATGTAGGAGGGAGTGACATGGGCTGATCAGGTGTCCCCTGGACATAACTGTGAATGCCTCCAATCAGAAGCGCTCTGCCTTGTCGTTGACTGTAAACCTGGCTACCAGCATGTCATCGGGCCAGAGGGATCCTGGACATGCCAGCAAATCAGTATGTAATGCTTTAACTTTTCTACAGGCTAAGACATTTTTTTGTACCAAATTTGGCCATTGTTTCAAAGCAGAAATTTTTTTCTTCAGAATACATGATTGTACCAGTAATATGTGCTAAGGTGCCATTTATCAAAATTTAATTTGATAACAGTTGTAAGCCTAAGATGCAAAGACAGAATGATACCTGATGCTTCACCTTAATATCCAAATTTCTAATGTCGCAGGTTGATTAAAAGGAAAACAAACTGAAATAGGACCATACTTACATTTTTGTACATGTACATGCCATAGTAATGTATTATGAAATATAAATCCAGCATGTGTCATTTCTTTGTCAGATCTACAGTGCACCTCTGGTTATCAACTGTTCAGAGACGTATGCTACAAGGTATTTGACACTACGCTGGACTACCAAGAGTCGGAAGCTGTGTGTAGAGAAGACGGTGGTATGCTGGCGATGCCGCGGGACCAGGCCATTGACAACTTCCTCATCCAGCTGAGATCATCCGTCAACCCAGACGTTAGGTACTGGATAGGACTGACAGACAGGAGGATGGAAGGAGTATGGACTTGGGCAGATGGACAGCGACTTGGTGCCTACTCCAGTTGGGCACTAGGGGAACCGAATAGCGCGGGTGATGAGGACTGTGCACTTTACGCAGCTCATCCAGACAGTAAGGACAAGTGGAATGATGTGGCCTGCTTCTATCCCTACCGATTCATCTGCCAAAAGCCAGCTATGGGTGAGATAAATCTCTTCATAAACGTAACCGTCCATTAAGTATCCTGTGCTAGAAACAAACAGCCATTATAAAATACTGCTTAAACTTCTTCCTTGTCTTGACCAAGAGAATATTGGATCCTTCAGTATTGGTTAAGGGGAAAATCAAATATCTGAGTGTATAGCTGGTAAAACTGCCCTTCACCAGCTTTGCAAGTAGGCTACCCAGTGGCAGCTGGTTATGTTAATCTGAAGGACCTGCTACACCTAACCTAACTGAGTGTATATTAACTATATATTAATTATCTAACTGTATCACTTGTACTGACAGTTGCACCAGTTGTTACTGAAAAAACAACTATGAAGACACCTGTGCAGCAGCCAGTGTCTTCACCGAACTGCCCCACCAGCTACAGTGAGTTCATGGGGAGGTGCTACAGCCTGTCTACGGTGCTAGCGACCGAGGGGAGAGCTGAACACATCTGTGCAGAGCAGGGAGCCCAGCTGGTGGTGCACGATCAGGATCCCTATTGGCCAGAATTCCTAATGGCTGAGCTGAATGCTCTGAATGGAGGTTTGTACCAGTCCTGCAGTCTATTTCCTTACACTAAAATGGAGGTAAAGGTAAATCAAAGGTAGTCCCATGGCCATTTTGAGGCCATAGGGGCAGAGGGTTGTTAATCCCCTGCACGGTATTGGAAGGAAGAGCCCATCCTTCTCCTTTCCATCCCCTTTTACCTTCCCGACCAAAGTGACCTACCTAATATTTTATACCTGCAAGGAGTGTGGAAGATCAAGTACATGTAAAGCGCCTTACTCAAGGACACAACATCTAGTCAGGAGTAACTGACCTCGACCTTAACCTAGCCACTCTGCCACTGAACAGCCACACTTACCTTATCTAGAGGAACATATCAGATAATAATCTTGATCATTTTTCATTTACAGAATTTATCATAACTGTGGCAATTTACTACCATTTGAAGTTCATTTGTCCAAGTTAGTACAGAAAGTCCAACACAGGGCTTGGAATTAACAAGTTAAATCTATACTCATTATGTACTAAAATCTTTTATTAAGATGAGTAACAAGCTCCACATGTACTAGTACATGCACAGTCACTATTCACAGCATATTGTTAACAGGGGGATAAATCATAGACTTAAGAATGAATTTGTTATATTCTCTCCTTCACTCTGGTGTACATGTGTTTGCAGAGGCAACTACCTTCCAGTACTGGACGAACGAGCCAGACCATTTGAGTCAACTTGACCTGATCCGCCACACCCTCAAGTTTGGCAGCCCTGCCAATGCATGCTGGGTCAGGGACCTGTTCCAGAGAACTCCTGTGGCAGTGAACTGCTCTGCTCCGCACAACTTTATCTGCGAGCAAGGTGAGCAGCTACACATCCCTGCATTTTAAGTCTGACAGAATTTGGACCCATTTGATATAGCAGCCAGCAAAGTCTAAAGATCATACATCTTGCAGAAAAGCTTACATTCAGTGGGGTTGAATACTTGAATACATGTAGTACCTGTACAATACAAATGTATATATCAAGCTGAAGTACAACCTCCAAACTGCCCTACCGTTATGTAGTGCAACTACCAGTATCAGGAATTTATTAATACGATTCTTTAAAGCATATATTCCCAGCAGAAAAGACAAAGTGGTTTCCATCATGATCCAATTTTTCTATAACATTTTTTTAGTTGTGATTTATTGTAACAACGGTCATGATACCTTTTTATTCTCCTTGGCAATAACAGACATGAATACAGCCATAGAAGCCGGTGAACAGGAGCTTACATCTATTGTGGGATACCCATCACCTGAAGTTGCTCCATATGACACCATGAAAGAGCCACGGCTGGATACTGGTGATCCATCTCTGGCAGATCTGATGGAGAGCAACGACAACACAGAAGATCCAGCCCTACTTGAAGATCCCAAGCAAGAGGCAGACCAGGACACTGGTGATTCAATGATGTCACTCATGGACAAGATCAAATACTCAATTGCATAAAATGCCAGAGTTGCCATCAGCTTGATTACCATTTGATTGAAAAAGACCTTGCAACAAATTCTCAAAGACATCTACTCACAGTCACATCACAAATTTGTTCCAAGTTTAGAGATTTTTTCAGTCAATGCATTGACAAAAAATGTCAAAATCTTAAATGAGATGACTAATTATGTGTAAGGTTTTCGGACTATCTATGATGGAAATTTTTTCAGTCTATTAACCGAATCAGAATTTTTTTCAATTATAACAAATTTTGCAAAATTTGCACCACATTTGAGCCAGTAGCTATGGAAAAGTGACACTATTGAACAAGAGTTCCACGATCTCATACCTTCGCCAAATGATGTTAACCCTTGCGGGTGACAAATTATACAATTTTAATCATTGATTTTGTAAATAAGAGCCTCATTTGCATGGATTATATCAGTTGATCATATTCTCCGCCCAATGACAGCCTTATCTTAACAAAAAGGCTATTATAGCACTTCCTCATAAATTATGCAAATGAGGTCATGAATTGAATAAGTTATGTTTATTGCTGTTCACCTTCACTTAACTTCCAAATGTGGCAAGTATGAAATTCGGGGTGCAGCAGTTACAACTATGGAATTATAAGAATTTGCCATTAATTATGCAAATTAGGTCCTCATTTACATAATCTATATCCTCAGATGTTTTTCTCGTTCTCAAGTAGATGTCACAAGTGTTTCATAGTTCTATTATCGAACAAAGCAGATTTATAGAATTTCCTCATTAATTATGCAAATTAAGTCCTGATTTGCATAATTGTTATTTGATTATGTCAAGCATCACTTCAACTACCTACATACCACAAATCACGACAATACGTCAACCGGTTCTTGAGTTATCGCCCTTCAAATTTTTTTCAACAAATGCTCCTGCAGTTCCAGAACAAGGCGCTAGGGGACCCAAACTTATGTCACTTCTTTCCTACCCCAAGAGCTATCTACCAACCAAAATTCGTGACCCTAGCATGTCCAGAACATGAGATATCAAAACCGGAAGTTAAGCTGCAGTACCTAGGAAAGCCGCCAGGCGGCCCAAAATCTAATCATTTCTAGGTCTCATGAAGTCCTACCCACCTACCAAGTTTCATTCCAATCCATCCACTGCTTCTTGAGTTATCTTGGTAAACCACACACACACACACAAACACACCCACACACAGACAAACGCTACTAAAAACATAACCTTCTTGGCGAAGGTAACTATGCTCAATCTCTACTCACTTTTGTAGCCAATTTTTCTCATGATGATTGTTACTTTACAACTATAGCATCCCTACCTCAAAAAACTACCGAAATGACCTTTTAAAACCACACAGGAGATGCAGCTAGCATGCTTGTCCTTGACTTGCTATCACAAAAATATCTGATTCAATAATGAGGTGGCATGTATGTGAGGTTTGGCAACTGCTATGTAGAATGGATATAAATCATGTTCAATGTCTTTTGGCAACTTTAAAATCATTCACTGACAATAAGCTACTGTGCTTTTTAACTGTCTTAACTGAGGTAACATGGATGATGATTGTGGAATTGGAGGTAATCAAGCTGGCAACAAAGTTAATGATTGTATGGATAAGAACTGGGAATGAAAAGTATCTAACTGTCTGAAGGGACTGTCTGAATGAATGTCAAATGCTCCTACTGTAACAACAACTTGGTATGGAGCCTTTTTTTTCTTTTACTTTTTTGTGTGCAGTGAATCTATATATCCAATCACTTTTTTGAATTCGTGTAAAAATGTGTCTATTTTTACAGTTGTTGGGTTTAGGATGTTATGACAGCAGACATCTGAATTCAATGGATTTCAATCCCATGACATGGATGTAAATAAATGGTCATTTTTCAACTGTTTTACCAACTGAATGGATATTGTGTAACACCACATCCTAATGATACTTCTGACCATATGCAAGTTTACAGACAATTGTTGTAAGTTGTCCACATTTTTTCACAGATATTGACGACATGACCGAAACATTGTGACGATACCACTTTTTAGAAAAAATCATGCATGCACAGTTCTTAGAAAACCTTCAAATACAAAATTCAAAACTTTACATTGAAATTCCCAGATATAGTTTCATACTAATACCATCAGTTATTTCAACAGTTCATCTACACTTCAGTTGGAAATATCTAGAATGAAAATTACAGCATACATCTGATCAAGTGCTTCAAGGTAAGGAGTAGGAACAACCCACTTTTTTACAGTATTGTGTAGTTACAATCTCAACCAAAATGCAGAGTAAAAGATTCAAGACCATTCAACATTGAAAACACCAGTTAGCATATATTTGAAAAACAGTGAGTTACTAGCAAACTTTTACCTACCTGATAAGTACACTCAAATATCATCACAATGTTTTGGTCATGACACAGTTTTCACTTTTTTAATGTATCTCACCTTGGTTTGAAATTAAAGCACCTAAAACCAACTGTTGTTTCTGTGTTGTTTTTTTAATTCCAAGTTGACCCTAACAAGCGACCATAATATCTAATCAACTATCATCTAATTCTGAATAAAACTTTTGATACAGTTTGTAACTTTTTAGTAACAATTCCACTGCAAAGTATTTCAGTAAAAAATATAGCATGTAAATGTGATATTTAGATTATACTGTTGGTCAGTCCCTGCCACATCAGGAAGATAAAATAAGGACACTACACACACATATAAGTGAACTTATAGGATCAACCAAGTCAATCCTCAGCAGGCTTTTAAGAGTGATTTTCTGTTGCGGGTACGTAATGTGTCCTTTGACAAGTTATGGTAGCTAATAATAATAATACACATTCTGATTATCTTATTTACCTTTTAGCACAAAAAAGTCTGATTCATTTATAAGGAAATGTAGAAGCACCAAGCAGCTACCTAAATCACAGTTGTATCAAGTTGTGCACATTAAATAAGTGCTGAGTCAATGGATGTCATTAGAACAGGCATAAGTGCAGTTAGATGACTAATGTACACAACATTTTGACATCATAACTTTGAACAATATTCCTGGATCGTAAACAATATACAACATAGACGGATCAAGTACATGTACGTGTACCTGGATAGGGCAAACTTTCCTGATCAGTAAAAGCAAGGAGAAACAGTAAACAGTAAAGGCAAGGAAAAACTCTGTCATTGAACAAACTAACACTGGTGTCATCAAACCTCTAAAATGTACATGCACATGTACCGGTGAGAAGAGTAGGTAAATGTATTTTAAAATCTCAAGCAAAGATCACTATCTTACAATACTTCCCACACATTTCAGAATGTAGGCATAGCACTCAGTTCTATAGCCATTGGACCAATCAGGCCACTACAGTAGCAGTGGTCACTGCAGTAGCAGTAAACACACTCCACTACCAATGGTGGTGTGTCCAACTCCCATACTCTTTGTCAGAGCAGAGCACTGAGCAGAGAAAGCTGTATACCCGGCTGGGGTTTGAACCCCTGACCTCCTGACTGCAAGGCAAACACTAGCACTAAAATGGATCTACACATGTATACAGTCACTCTTCGCAAATGCTTCAGTGTCTGGGTACAAATGTATTTCTAAGAAAACACTAACCTATTGATCCTGCTGCTGCTATCGACACCGTCTCCTTCAGTACCCCAACAATGCTGGCCTTGATACGGGCGGAGTCTCTCGTGTGGTCGTCAAGGTGACTTAGCAGCGACTGGATAGCCACGTGGGAATATTGGGACTACAGGGGTGCAGGAATGACATTACACATTCAAGTTATGTACAAACTGTAAAACAAGTCATGTCATTAGAGGTGCACACTTCAGATATCAGGTGTCCAAGAAATTCTTGAAAAAGCCTTGATGATGCTGCCTTATCATTAATGGCAGTATCATAGAGTAGGTTGAGAGTTGACATCACATACCAGACAGTCTGAGTGTAAAAATTCAATATCTTACCTGCATGGAATACATGATGATCTTGAAACACTTTACTGCAAAGCGATTAGGAACCCACAGCTGGTGGTTGTCAAGGTGACTAAAAGCAAAGGGGAAATGATGAGAAAAATCTAAATGAATCAGATGCAGCTGCACAAAAAGCATGATAGAGTGACTGAGAGTATGGTCACACAATGTGATAATAATCCTAGTAGTTAAATGGTACTTACTGGCATAGCCACCGATACAAAGCTCATCATTACTACATTTCTAACAAAGGCATGATCAATGAAGATTACAGACTGCTGTAGTTAGTACTGTAAATTCATTTACTTTGAGAGTGGGTTTATTTTGCTGTAGGATTTCACTGTGTTTTAAAATTTGAGGTTGAAACAGCTCAGAGTCTGTAGAACAGTAGCCATACAATATCTACAGTGGTATGAAGTTGAGATTGAGAGGTCACTGTTTAAAAGAATCCACTACAAACATTTCCAGTCACTATTTTGCCAAAGTGACTGACCAGAGTGCGGGTTTGAGGACAGACTTGATGCTCCCGAAGGCGGCGCGACAGACCAGGTCCCTGAGACATGTCTCTGCCACCGTGGTGGGACGTGTGGTGTCCTGGTGCTGACTGGCATGCTGCGTGTCATCAGACGGGGAGGGTGACGGGCTGAAAGCAATCCAAGCAGAATTTGTTTTTAATATGTTAACTCAACCTTTGTTACATCTATACATAATGAAAAACAAAGTACAAAACATTATAACACCTTTACACATTGCTAAAAGGGTCATTCCCACAGGATTCCTTAGCTAGGGTTAGCTCCCTTGGACTTTCAGGACAGACATGTTTCATCCAACTGGATTTCCTGTGCTAGGGCCTACTTCTTAAATTTGTGCTTATGACCATTTATTTCTATTTTGAGCTGGTTTATCAAGAGTTCAGCACTGATTAGACAGACAGACATTAGCAATGTATAATCACTGTCTACCTCAAAGCTAATTACTAGATTGCTGTGATGAAACGGTTTTATCACATATATTATGTATGTCACTATAATGGACTTTGCATCAAGGAATTTCTAAATAACTCTTAGGCAACAATTTTCAATTTTCGACATAAATATCAACTTAATACCAAGTTAGTTTTTTCTTAACAAACATTTGTAAAGAAACATCACACCTACCTGTCCTCATCATGCATGTTGTAGAGAAGGGAGGGGACAATCTTGTCCATATGCACCTTATCCCATATATTCACCTAGAGGTAAAACAGTATGCTAAATAAATCTATTACTTAAAGTTAAACAAGCCAAACTTGACTAGAAAATCCTGCCACAAACAAACATTCTAATCTTTAATTGTGGTAATCACAGCTGATATACAGATGTATTTAAAAAAGTATTAAGGACTGCCTACATGTAACGTTACATGTATAGTATCAGGACGCAAGTGAAACTCTTTTCTGTAAATAATCACAAAATGGTAAAAATTGTGGACAATTGGGCAAAAACAAGGACTAAAAAAATATGTAGCTAACCTATATTTTTTCTTAACTCATACACAGACATCTCAGTACCATTGGAAGGTATTTCAGCACCAAAAAGTATTTACAATGCCAGAAAAATATCTAACCAACCTATTGTTTGTTTGTTTGTTTTCGCATAACCGGTAAACCGCCTTCAGGCGTAACACACCAGTTTTGTACATGTGCGCACATGTACAAGCTGCGTAAGACCGGACTGTAAGTTTTGAACCACTCACACCGGGAAGATCCCCTACTCTTTTCGATAAGTGCGGTGGGTTCTTTAACGTGCATGGGGTGTGGCTCTCCCAAACACGGGACCTCCATTTAACGTCCTATCCGAGGGACGTCCCTAACCGAAGCTAGGTACTCATTTTCACCTGAGTGAAGTGAGGAAAGTCGTGTAAAGTGCCTTTCCCAAGGGCACAAGATCGGTGACATGGGCAGGGTTCGAACCCACAACCTCTGGGGTGTGAGCCGAACGCGCTACCGACTGCGCCACACGACCCCACGTATAATCATGGATTCCTTCTCTAAAAAATATAGTACATTTGAAAAATGCTCCTGAATGGCATAGTCATACAGACATCACATTGCCATTGGAAGGCATTTCAGCACCTAAAAGTTACAAAATGTTCCAAAAAAATATCTACAACGTCAGAAATATCTAGGCAACCTAAGGATCCCTTCTCTAAAAAAAATGTAGCACATTTGAAAAACACTTTTGCATGGCATAGTCATACATAGACATTGGAAGGCATTTCAGCACCTACAAGTCAGAAACTGTTCTGAAAAAATATCTACAATGCCAGACAATCTATGGATCCCTTCTCTATAATGTAGCAAATTTGGAAATGCTTCTGCAGGGACTAGTCACACACAGTGCCATTGGAAGGCATTTCAGCACCACTAAATTTAAAAAGTTGCAAAGTTTCCAATGACTAGCCAAATGGACATGATGTTGGAGTTACTGAATGCTGATAAAGCATAACTGCACCTACTGCCTAAATACTGTTACAGTAAATTTGGAAACATTTTGCTACAGAATTGTTCCAACCATGAACTTAAATCACTGTGAAATCCTCCTTTCCCCTCCTACCGCGAAATTAAATCCCCACAACAATAAATCAATTTAGAGTATACTGCTATAGGGATAACAGAACAGCTACTGTAGAACTGAAAGTACTCTGCACCTGTAACTCATCACTAGATGTCTTCTTCACTACCCCCTGCAATCCTCTCAGTCCTGCAACTCGAACTCTGGGAGTGGTGAAAGATAAATCATCACAATCATCAAGAAATATTGATTGCACAAGTTTCAGTTTTCAGTTTCCATGTAAATGTTTCTGTGTCATGTACAAGGAATAAGTCTTGCATAGAATATATTGCAATTCCTAATACATGTATGTTTAATCATATTTCTCTTCGGCTGATTATATTGTTGAAGCTGCAGAATTTTTTCCAATCATCCAAATGGAGGCAAATCCAGTTAGATTCACCGAAAGTACCATGCTTTATTTAATTCCCTTGCCAGGGAACAAGACCAGAAAAACTACATTCATGTTGCTTGATGATTGTGTCATAGGTTTGTGTAATCATGCTTAAATTCTATGATGTATTACTTAGGGTAGCCTGGAATCCAGTCGCTTTAACTGCATAGTACACCAAAGTAAGACGTGTCCAGCTACATGTAACACTACATGAAGCCTGGAGGCCAGTCTTGTTATTATGCAGCTTACTTAATTCTGACATCAGGAGCCTGGTTGTTGTTGTGAGCCATGGCACTGAACTTGGACACAAAGAAGTCATAGCGGCGATGGTATGATGGCGTGTCCTCCTCTATGTTGGTGAACTTCACAAACTAGAAAAGGACAAATAGGGGAAAGGATTGGGTAAGGCAATAATTTGACAATGAAAAATATTGCTTTTTGCAAGGCCTCCATTGTGTACAATGGTAAAGTGAAATAAACAGATTACTTTGCCATTGGAAGGCATGTCAGTACCCCAAAATATCTAAATTATTAATCTACTCCTCTTATTTTGTATAAAACAATAATTGTAACATTATATCACTTTTGAGTGATGTCAGATACATAAATGCCCATGCCTTCCCAAACAGAAAAAAAAAGGTAACAATATCCCAGATGCTGATTGATTACTTGATGAGCCGGTGGATTTGTACAGCCTGCCACAGCCTGAAATATTCATCCCCCAGTGGGAGTGGCAGTGACAAGGATAAACTCAAGGGCACCAGGGTTGCACTGCCCCATGCTATGCAGATGTGAATAGGTTTCCCATCAAGGCATTCATTTAACAATAGATTAAATCCAATTTGCTTCACTGCCACTTGGTTATTAAGCACTGACTCTAATATGTGTTTTATGATGATAATAATATGACAAAGACAGAATAAATTAGTTTCTACTTCCTTCTGTTGTGTGTGTTTTTCAGGAGAAGGGGGGCTTGGGGCATCACTTTATTCCAGTACTGTTTTTATGTTTGCTGGAAAATGTTACAGATGTGAACCATCTACTGTAATTATCAATATAAATTGTGAAACTTGCAAGAGGCTCTGAGTTCACTATGTGATGGCTTTTCAGCACCAAGGACACGCAATGCCAAAACATGGGAAGATTTGAGATAAAGAAGTTCAAGAGGACTTCTACACAGAACTTTTTCAACTTTAGCTTCAACTGTAAGGATTCATGTCTTATGCTGTGAAATTTTCACACATGTACGGTTTATTCAAATAATTTGAAGGCTTACAGAAGTGGAGCCAAGAATCTGCAAATCAGGATCCCGGGATTCCAGCAGTTTCGACACCATCTTCAGGAAGCTCTCTACAAACAGGTTGATACTTTGTGCATGGCAGGCCAGCAGCAGTTGGTCTAGTGCCTCCATTGCTATCACCACATACCTGCAAATAGAACGGCAATAAATGAACAAGGTTTGCATAAATCCATAATCATGACAGTGAGCCCCATTGACAGAATATCTCTAAGAAAAAACTAATTTTGAGCCCTGTACATGGGTGGTTTCTTAGTTTCAGACAATTTGATAGATGAAAATTACTACAGGCCCTACATTGTATATAATTAACAAGGATAATAATCTCAACATTTATGGGCTGATCAAATTTCCACTCGAGTGTTTAATTAAACCTACATTGTACATGTCTAGATTGATCAATTTTTTTTCATATCAGGCCTCCTGACTCCTGATATACCCACTGTAAGCATCTAGAAACAAGCCTTTAAAAATCTGTGTAATAATCAAATGTCAACTTGTCCCAAATACTGTGTAACCAATAGTCAATGTTCATCTCCCAGTAGATCTCTTAAACTTAGTGAGCATTTCTGAGAAGCCCATGTTGCAACCTGAGTTAGACATGGGAAATAACAATGAGCAATCACCTAAGTCCCAAGATTGTGTTGAGACAAATATACATATTAATGCAATTCCCATAACTTGCTTCAGCCACGTTTTGAGATTCAGTTGTCTGTGTTTGAAGATGACAAGGGACTCATATGATAATGAAATATCAAAAAATAAAAACCCTGTTATACTGGCATTGGATGTGCTCCTAATTCTGAAATATCACAAAGAACATACATGGAAGTGAGACCCACAACATACAACACAGATGCTCTAGGACTAACATATTTTTCTGTCTGAGTCTTACAAAGGGTGTTTTTAGCATCACAGTAACCCTCCTCAGAGTACATGTATTTTGATTTCCATGAAAAGTATACTCATTTACAGGAGCATAGATGTTTGTTCATTTGCAGTCTAGACCTAATGAATCAGCATATTGTCATATTAAAGCAAAAAAGCATTTAGTATCTTGTTTCTAACTCTCTTGGGATATCTGAAAATGTGACTATTCTGGGCATATCTAACATGTACATTATTTGTCAGAATATCGATAAGAAAATCCTATGAAAAGTTTGACATCAGACCATTGTTATATCAATAACACATCAAAATGCTTCATCTGAATATTACTGAAAGGACATATGGCTATCATAGATTAATTTTAGAATCAATGCGCATCTTTGACAATGGCAACAATACAAATAATTTAACGTGGCACCATCTATGTACAACTCACTTGTCCATCCCCCAGCAATCGTGCTCATACACTGGCAGCTCCATGTCTGTCTGTGTGAGCCTGATGTTAAGTCCTCAAATCCCTCTTTCAGTTATCCAGGGAAGGGAAGTAGCCAACTTTACCAGGAGACCAGACAGATCATGTACCCTAAACCCAGGTCTAATCAAACTCCAGCCTATACCAATACTGTTGTCTTCTAGCAGACTTCTTGTCACCTCCCTACATGCCAATTGGTTTGGTCCTAAAGTCGATTACCGCCGGGGGAGCATTCGTTTTTGTCACTGCCCTGTACGAAGCGCACTTATTTGACCTAGCTTGGTAATACACAATGCGTATGTACTCATCAATCAAACCCTGTCTCCTAGGAAACACTCGCGGTGTGACGTGATAGAAAAAGAATCCTACATCACGATTGATAACAGAGTAACATCTAAATATAAGTATTATAACACATTTAAAGGTCATTTCATCATACTTATTGGCAACTGAATATCATAGTTTTCAAAAACCAGGTGCTCAATTAACTGCTTTGTAGCCCCCAAAATTCCAAATATGGCAAAATAAACAAAACGCATCATTCTTGGTTTAAGAGTGAACCACAATATCCTTGAAAACTCCCCAGTTAAGTAATAAAGGGTTCTAGGTACACAGATGGACCCTCTGAAGAAGATTAACTGCAAATTGCCCAAACTGTTCCACAAGCTGCCATGCCGGACTCCAAATGGAAAATCCAGAAAACCATGACTATAACTCTCCATTTCCTATTACAGCCAGGAGCTCACTGACCATGACATTCCCATATGTGAGGGACACACATGGACTGATACTAACATGATCAAAACTTCCTCCGATACAGCAGGCAACAACAAAGGGGAAGTATGACCTTTTTAGGAGCAGTATGTTACATCTGAATTGTATCATAAACGGGCTTGCCGTATCAATCTGGAACAAAATCAATCCACAATTCCTATCCATTTTGGAAACAGTAACTTGCAGAGAGCCATTTTTCCACTCCAACTCTATGCAATTTGGTCATTCCACAGTAAAGGACACCCCTACTGTGATTTAGAGATCTGACAATCCAGGAATGCAATGGATAACAGTTAATGTCAGTACCCGTATCTGTATAGACTAGATCTAAAAGAGTTTTGCTAGATATTAGTTGAACCTTCCAACTTCAAGGCCAGTTTGAACTCAGAGTGCACATCCTTCAGTGCCAGTGAAAGCTCTTTAACACATAACAAGTGTGGAAACTGCATGCAAAATTGCCTTGCAAGGCATGCAAGATGGCATCTACATATATCAGCACCTTGTGAATTTTTACTGTTAAGGAGTGGATTCAAACAGTTTCTGCAAACTTCAAGTAATGAAAAATGATCATTTAAATCAGGACTTTGATAGATCCCTGTAAAAAATCATGTCATGAGATGATCCCATAATGATATGGTAACTACTTGGACTTTAAAATTTTAAATTTGTGTATGTACTTTTTATCATAATGACACTGTAATGATTTTGTCAGCACAGAGAGATGATGCAAAAGAAGCTCATGAAATATTCAGCTAATACTAGTAGTGTGTCAATCGCTCAAAATGGATATTGGGATATTGATTCTAATGTTTTTTCTAAATTTTGTTCTAACTACTAGCAGTAGCAGTCAGAGGGGCGGGGGAGTGACTAGCGGCGCCTGGAAAGCTAAAGCTAGTGCCAAGAAATACAACAAATTTTTTAAAATATTTTTTTCTTGTTTCAATTTTAAGCTTTTCAGTTTTACATCATGCAAATAAAACAAACTAGGAAGGTCAATTCAATTTATTATCGGTTTACATAATTTTTGCAGGATCCTTCACTGAGCCACCTGGAAAAGAAATCGTATACCACTTTCAAACCAGCTGGAAAACAGTTGCCGACACATTAAATATAATTTTGCACATAAATTTTTCAAATTGCACCTAAACTGTGCAATTTTGCACGTACCTGAAAAAAAGCCATTAATACAGCTGTGTGGATGATCTGGTGCCTTACCCTTTCCTGTTCCGGGACACGTCCCTACTGAGTCTCTGTGCCAGGTACTCCCCCACACGGTCCAGCTTCTCTGGAGCACGGATGGTGTAAAACGTCAACTTGTCCATGTTGGTCTTCACAAGGCCATCCTAGGAATAAAGAGTAAAAATAAGATCACGTACAAATGTACACCTAGCCTTATATGTGGAATAATCAGACAATGAGCTTGGAAACCAAATATATAGTCTGTGATACAAACTCCACTGTTCATCGATATGATGGCTGAAGAGCAAGTATATGTATGATTTAATCAGACTACCAAATATACAACAGTACTACATTCTACACATCAAAATTATACTTAGGAAATGTACTGACTAGGATTCATTATTTGAAAACTAACTCTTATAGGACTGTTTTATTTTTCATTATATTCAAACACCAAACACCCTGATCTGACTTGAGAACAACATTTACTATACCTGGTACCACATGTAATCATTATGTTATCCCAGACAAATTACTTAAAATTCAATTAAGGTCTGGTTAGAAGACCGCTGGTTTACTGGCCTGACAATCTTGTTAGTAGCCATCATTTTACAGCAGAGAGTCAAAGCTATAGGAATGTGGCCAAATTTGATCCAATTTGTAGTGGCTGCAAAAAGTGATGGTTCGGCTAAGTGCCATAGAACACATTCTGAACATGACTGGTTGTCTTTTTGTCATTACATGCATATCCTTTTGGCTTAACTTTGCTAACAACGTTGAGCCAAATAAAGCACATATATATGTCTTAAGCCAGAGGTCAGAAAATAGATTCTAAATGTACACTAGACTTATCGATTATTAAGCCACTGTCTCCAAAAAAGAAGTCAAACACCTCAGTAATGTACGTAGAAACATCAGATAAACTACACATTTTCTACCTCTTTACATACAACATACTGTTTGTTACCATGCAATTAGCCTTTGGGTACAAGATTGCAAACAAATGAATATAATGATATTTTTTCCTGCTATCTTGAAAACCTTTTCCTGCCCCACTCTTGACCATCAACCTCTAGCCAGGGATTGATTTTCTCTCCGTCCAAAATGACCTCCTCTGATCCGTCCAATAGGGAGGCTGGCTTACCATTCCCATCATCCATCCCAATCATCTGCCCATTGACCGACCACAGAAACAACTCTCCTGCCTAAATACACAGAAGGTGACCTGATGGAGATAAGGCCTAATTGCCAGCTGGGGCTGTGTTCAGATGTCAAAGTGAATCACTCGTCACTAGTGCTTAACAGAAGCCAGAAGCAGCAGGCTTTCCTGTAATTACATGTCATGGATTTACAACATCAGCTAATGGCAGAGAGTTTTCTGTGTTTACCTCAATGGTCTAACTGATGACATTTTCACGATCAGACAGCATTTAACTTTACCACAGTAGTATACAGTCAAGTACAAGAGAGTTAGTATCTCAAATATCACAGGTCATACTACTTAAGCTCACAGATGTCTGGCCACAATACAATTTCTTGGTTCTCAGATTTTAAAAATTATACTAAATTCAAATCAAATATCAGCTGTATTTGGTGCACACAGTTTCAGGGATTATAAACAAAGTCACTCATGATGCAAGTTCAATATCATAGCCTTCTGTTTGTACATGTATATTGTCCTTTGGCTAAAATTTCATGTGAAAATGTCTGAGAACCAATAAATTGAAATACAGATTTTCTTCATAAGTCATTTTATTTTCCAGATCACACAAGAGAAACAATTACATGTATGTACATATACAAGTATCAGCCTTATGTGACAGATTTTGTCTTGCAACTATAAAATTCAACCATTCATGATGTAATCACTGGGGAAATATAAAAGATAAACACAGCCCTGAAGAGCCCTCACCTGTGGATCTTCAGGAAAGATGGCATCTACCAGTTTCTTGTAGCGAGGCCGCAGGGCCCCACAACAGCCACACATACCTGCAGCAATGTGTTACATGCATGTACCTGTTACGGATCCTCAACACCTGTTCTTCAAACAGTTGGTGACTTTAAACCACACTGTTCAAAAGAAAGGGATGACAGAAGAGAATAGTTGTACAGAAACGAATTTGAAAGGGAGAATGAATGTGAATTCAAAAAAACTGACAGGAAAGCAAAACCTGTGAGTGATAGTTATAAATAAGACAGGAAATGTGAGGAAAAAAAGTTGGTGATTGGTGGAGAAAGCATTGAAATCTGATACCCCTGGTAGTAGCTAAAATCATGCACGTAAATAAAAGTAGCAAAACAATTTCATTTTAGTAGAATGCAAATTAAAATTAGTCCACTGGCCTTTAAATTAATTGTTTACCTTACAGTCCACACAAGAATTTAAAATAGACATGTAGTACATGCAGACTTTTCTTAAATTATTAGCACTCAATATTATATCTTCCATTTCAGAAACAGAGGTAGAATTGCACATAAAACATGCATAACATCAAAATGGGAAATACAATGTACATGTACACGTAGAGCAATACCATGTTGTTGACATACATGTCAGAATACAAAAAAAACTACAATAAATTTACATATTCATCCTTTCTTTAAATTATAGGAAACACAGCAGTAACATTGTAATTAGAATTGTATACACATGCATATATAGCTAAAGTGATCTTATGTATCAAACTGAGACTTCCTTCAGAAATCAAGAAGCAAGTGATAACCAGATGAGAGAGGTAAAAATGTAGTAACAAGTGGTTGACAAATTGTGCATGTAATAAGTCTTAGATTGTTTTTTCACTGCAAACCATGTGGGCTAGACTATAGCCCCTGTGTGTCCATTAGAAAAGCAAGGTTCTTAGAATGTCTGCATTATGCAATGCTCTGCTGGGATTATGTGTATAGCACAGCAATCATTGGCTCAAAATCCTCATGAAAATAAAGCGAGAATATAAATAGTATACAAATGACACTTTAGAGTAGAACACACATCCTCCCCGTGCTTCCCAATGTTTGTGCAAAGAGGGGTGCAGATAATGAGAAAATTACTGAGGTCAATCCACCGGCCACCATCGGACATCGCGGGTGACATGTCAAGCGAAGGAGTATCATCCTCAGGGGTGGATATCTTCCCTGTGTCTGCAGCGATCAGTTAACACAATAACAAGCAAGGGGGAAGCAAAGACAACAAAAAGGATCAATGAAAAGCTTCTGCTTGGCAGATCGCAAGATACGTGCTGGTTGTCAACTCCATCATACTAACTTATGACAAGTTGAATGTCTGCCCTTTTTTTCATAGCATACTTTCAAACCAACAGCACTCTACATTCAAAGAAATTTCTTCTTCAACATTCTTTGAAGAAGAAATATTATGTCTGTGTTGGTTTTATAAAGGAAGTTTGTACTGGACGGACGTTCTACCCAATCGTAGACTCTACTCTACACTGTACTACTCTACTTCAAAAGTATCTCCTGCGGTCTAATAACTCATAATTTTCATTCAATCGGTCATATCTCAGCCCCCCTCCCAATCTATTTCAAGGCAAGTGCTACTTCTTGCTAACGTTTAGTCGTGGCCGTTAATGTTCCACACAAGTCAATTGTTTGGAAGAATTAGCTTGGGAAGCTTGATCCAGTATTTCCCAAAACAAATTCCTTCATCAGTAACCGCCCTCCCCATATCCGGAACGTAAGATATTCAAAGCTTGCTGTGACCGACGGCACAAAACGACACACTGCTGCCACACTGCTATGCTGTAATGCACCTCTCATCGTGATATAAAATGACATCTATCGATGCATGATTCATAAATGTGTTTGAAATACAATATCCATTGCCATACCTGACATTTTCACGATCTGTTTAGCAACAAAACATCCCAAATCCTGCAGAGGCAAAGGCTCCCCTCTTCCGCTGGCTCTTCCGCTGGGTCAAAGGTGAACATATCGTCGAATGTACAATACTAAATAAATAGCTAGCTTCTTTTGTAGAACTAAACTGGTTACTAGTACATTTTGTTAGAATAATATAAGCAATCCCTTATAACATTGATATTGTGTTTTTGATATATAGCATTTTAACTTTATTAGCCAAAAATCAGATTAATGTATTAAACTAAGAATGCGAACAAATCATCTCGAATCTGCAGACGAGGATGTTACACTATGTTCTAGTTGGGATAGCTCGTGATGGTGCGAATTTGAGAGAACTGTTTGTGCAATTTCTGCAAATTTCCTGTCTCTAAACTCCCTATATCATGGGTACAACATTTAGAGAAAGGGGACCACTTTTGATGTGTGTCTCTGTGTTAATTCTATCAGCCTGTAAGTATGGCGTTGCCGAGGAGAGAACAAGTGATATCCATTCCAGTGGTAAGGATGGCGACCGTGGTTTCGACCTACTTCCGGGTGATGAAGTCATCACTACTTCTCCCGAGATGGAACGATTATCGACACCTGTCCCAGAAGACGACACGACTTGGTCATCCCATGAGTTCCAGATCGACCAAGGCAACCAATCAACAACTCAGCGCACCTTTAAGAGCATAGATTCGGCGTCAACGACTGTGGTCCCAAGTCCAATCATTCACAGCCACTGTGAGAAACTCTTGAAAAAGTTGGGAGAAACAGCCTCACATTTCACCCGCTGCTCAATACTTCACGCCAGACCGCTGGGTCTGTGTAGCGGCTGTATGTACGAATACACCGACTTTGGGAAGGTTTTCGATGCCATTACCAAGGAAGAAGACCCCACCACCGGAGAAAAGAGTTGTGCAGAGGTACTCTTGGCTTCGGACATGACTCAGATCGTTGTGAAGACCCACCAGTTCATCCAGTCACTGTGGGAGGCCTCGACTTGTGAACAGTGTTTTGACATCGGACCTGAGGTGAACGGCACTGTGAGCTACAGCCTGTCCAACAATACACTGCACTTCCAGGAGATGGCCAATAAGACCATTCTTTGCTTTGCGCAGCATACCAATAAGACAGGAGGTGTTTCTGATGTCTGCACTGCTTGTAAGAAACCATACGACAAGCTGAATGACTTGTACATCTCCCTGAAGGACACAGCTAAGCTATGTGTGGACATAGTTGATTCCATGAACTCCACACGGCACACCTGGAGCCACCGTTTTATGTGTTTGAAACGGGAGCAGGACACGGTGGCAGTGGCGGCCATTGCGGTTGGGTTGTGCATTCTGCCTGTGTTTTTCTACATTGGCAGTAAGATTAACGTGGAGAAAATAGAAAAGAAGCTGCTAAAACAAAAGAGGTTTCGTCCACTTGACTCAGCCAGTGTGTTCCAGTGACTGGTTATGGAGAAACGAATCACTTCATTGTTCTGGGCAGTGGTCCATTGTAGTTTGACCTATGCGTACATCTACCTGTATAAAATTTGTTACTGTCATAATTGTGCAAAAATTATACACTGTGCAACAAATCCAACTTCTGTCTCTTTACAAAAAGTGATTTACGTTGTGCAATAAAGAAATATTTCATCTGCAGCAAGCCAAAGTGAATATCAACCTGCTTTGTTTTTGTCTCCATATCATTTTATGTGAGCACTCAGTATTATCATGACTGCAGAGTGTAATATTGATTTATAGGGACCACTTAATGTATACATTTGTTGTCAGTAAATGCCATGTTAAAATTTGTGCAAAATATGCTAAAAGTATTCTTAGCCTATAGCCTCAGCCATGCATTCATTTAACCAAGGAGGTCCTTGATTTAAACAGAACAGGTACAAGACAGTGCCATAGGCCCCGCCCTCCCAGCGTATCAGGTGACTAACCACTCCAGTTCATAAACTGTGACTAGGGAGTGGACTATTTAATGTACATCATTTAATTAAGTTATTTTTGAGATTTGATCATGAGAAGACTATATTGAGAGACACCTACTTTGCTAGCTCAAGTTTCCAAACAGTTTTATTTAGAGAAAATGAATGTTAAACAAGTAGACGTTTAACACATATAACAGAAGAACAGGGTATATGTTGGAAACGAGTCATTTTCTATATCCATAGTCTATGTTATCTTTTATCTACAGGTGTAACTATTCAATGTACGTATATGTTCTGCATCTGCATGAATTATGAAGACTTATACTCAAGACATCGACATTCCATGTAGTGTGAAATCACAGAATACATGAGAATCTGAGTGCACTTTGCTTGCTTTTAGTCTGGAGGCGCAACATAACATACCGTGCAAATATTATTGATTTTGACTAAGTTTTTCCACGGCATCGTTTGCACTGGCCCAAAAGGAATGGAATGTCTAGGTAGTACACTACTATATATAAAGGAAGGGCGCACGTTTTCATTAGTTCGCCACACTCACGAATTACTGCCAATTACTGCAACTTCGACCCAAACCATGCTCTAGTGATACTGATATTGTGTAATACCTCTTTCTCCGCTACTTGAGTAAAATATTTCCTAGATGATCACGGTATATTGATACAAATTCAGGCGGGAGAAATACAAATCAGTTCAGTTCTTTGGTACATAACGAGTATAGAGAACATCTTTAGAGCTGTATCCGACAGCGAAGCAAGGCTACCCTCACCTTGATCAGAATTCTATCAGTTACACCGATGATTCGCACTCTCGGCAGAAGTTTTCTTTGTGATTGCCATAATCCACAGACACGGCACATACACTTGTTTCATCGGGAGACTTATCGCCGTTGCCAGCGCTCTTTCTCTTGCCATCGGCGCTACACCGACCCGTGCTACTCCTACTCAACCTACGCTCAAAGTTCTTCATGTCATCTTCTGTCACTTTCCAGCGACACGTGAAGCCGAAGTTCATGGTCGGTATCTTCGCCTGGCTTGCCACAACTTCCGACCCATCTACCTCATCAACACTGCCGCTTCCCGCCTTTTCTGGTCCGTCCACGTCATCAAATGGACGGATGCAAATCGGTATTTGTTTTGGATGACAGAACAGGTAATGAAGCGACATGAAAATAATTCCCACAAAGAACCCGACGTACACCAATAGCAATGCTGGTTTCAGGTATGCAGGTCGCTGTCCCGCCTGTTGTATCCTCCAGTACCAAAGACCGGCCATGACGGCGTTTTCCGTGTACACAAGTGCGTAAAATGCCGTGGCCCGGTACCGGGAGCGGGACTGTTGCACCATGCTGAGCCAAGAGAATATGTTGACGAACGCGATGACGATGTTGAAGCCTGTCTGTTCCACGCGGCTGTCGTAAAACTTGATGTCCTGACAGGACCGCCAGACGAACATGATGAGGAAATGCCCACCCAGGATGGCGAAGGTGTACCAGTGGAACTGGGAGGCGAAGAGAGAGATGGCGACCACCCTGGCGGAGACGGTGCAGAGGCGCCAGAGCGTCCAGAGTACAACCCCCGTGTAGGTGATCCTCTCTGCGTTGGGCAGGGCTTCACGTAGAGACTTGTGGTGGGACACCAGAGCCACCGACAGGGACGCAAGCGACGTGCCAACGGCTAACACTGTAAGAAAAGAAGGAGAGTCAGATTTGTAACTTAATGATACTTCAATGTTCACTGGCTATTCAAATGTGTGTACATTCTTAGATATTTCCATGATTTCACTGCAGAATAATCTAATATTAGATTCAGCCTGATTTGTTACTTCCGGGTAAGGAAGTGTTGTTTTGGGTGGCAGAGCAATGTATTTGTTTATCTGTTTGTCCGGACAGAGTAGGTTGACAGCACATGGGTTGGGAGAGATCGATAGGCGTAATGACAGGAGAGTAAAGGTCTCAGAATTTGACCGGAAGAAGTCTAGGGTCATGGACTGTATGTGCGGGAAGTCTGAAATCTCCGTGGTGTTTGTGTATGGCGTAAAGTTTTCATGAAAAATGAAGAACACGTCGTTGTATCAATCATATATCATACCTGTGAGGAAGTCACTCTGACCCCTGACCTGCATGATGTACAGCTGCAGCACCAGTTGTGGAGCGGACTCCAGGAAGGCTTCAAACATCCTGAGCAGACACACGTCTGTCCACTCCGCCAGCCACAGGTTGTACCATCTCTGGTGGTCTCTCCTGCTCCGGAACCCGTACATTAGCGCCTGGAAACACCTGAAACAATTTGACGGAGTATGTATTATGGTTCAAGAAATAAGGTCTATTCGAGGTCTAGCTGTTCTTACTATTGCTGCTTTCCCGTGTGTATAAAAGGACAGACCTGTCGCACACGTAACACGCGGACGAACAAACGAAGAACTGGTTCGTCCTCAATTTATAACAGTATTAGCTGTAAACATTGATCGAAGCGCAGGTAGCATTATGTGACATTTTTGCGCTAATATTTGCGATGTTCTGGATAAAAATAGTCATATGATTGACATTTATTATCACTTTTCAACACAATTGTGTTACTGGTACTAGTATTACATTTCTGACTCTCATGACTACGGCACGGCCATATCTGTCGTAGGTAGGCGCCACGCGATTTTGGTGCAGTAGAATTTCCAACAGGCCCGTATCAGAGGCGCAACCATTGAGAAGGATCCAATTCAACCTTCTCTGTAAGAAGACAAATACCGCCGTTCCGCAGACAGGCAAAGAAACTTCACGAAAATGTCATCTCGGCAAAATAATTTACGCAAATAATCCCACTGTCCTTTTCAACCCTATCCGATAATCAAAATGTGTAATACGTTGCAGTCCCGACATAACAATCCATGCGAACGCTTATCTTCCCGAATAGCGAATTGTGATTAATGGGGCTTCCCTGACACGTGATCTGCATGTTTTGTGTCTCGAGGGAACGTAAATAATGACTCATCTTCTGGTATTGTTGTTGTTATCGTTATTGTTAGAAACACGCGTAAGACACAAAACACGCCTGAAGCACATCGTATCGACAGAAAATAAAGCTGTTACGAGCATGCATGCAATACTCGGATGTCGTTAAAGTTGTTTTGCAAAATAGTCCCTTCACCAAGCTAGGGATATATTGTGCCTTTCGTGGTCTGTTTGCTGGGCACACGCACTTTAATAGAGTAATGCAAGAGCACTTTCGGCTTGCGTCAGTGACACCATAACTGCCTTTGAAAGCACAAGGCAAACATTAATATAAATTTATAAACTTCGTTGCTTGAAAGCTTACCCGCGTCAATAAAACATGGTTTCTTTGTCTTTAATTATTCCCAGTGAGCTTCCGACCACAAGTGACAGGCGGTCAACAGTAAAATCTTAAGCACCGTGAGACCCGTTTCTTCATTCAACAACCTGTTGCAAAAGACCTACAGTTGTTAATGGGTCCAGGGGACACTTGGCAAATTTACACTTACTACCTGACTGTGACCTCGATCGGGGACGGTTGGTCCTAAAATATGGCCAGATGTTTACAATGCCGTAGTTGGTCGTATCAGGTATCACAGGGGGACAATAGGGCTAGTTAACAGCAGGCGCAGACTTGTCTTCAACTATATTGAGTTGTAAAGTAAGACTTTGGGTTTCGGAAAAACAACGGGGATAACAAAATTCCTCAAAGCAAGCAAAGACAACTTCATATCTATTTGGTTATAGAAACCGAAACCGCCGCTTGGCTTGAGAGTTGATATTCGTTATTTTCTGTTACCCGACATAGACGCCTTACCTCCACATTGTACCCAGCTGTAGAAAATGCAGCAGTCCCCTCCACAAACAGGAGAAAACTCCTGTCCTCTCCGACTCGGGGGCCTTGCTTCTGTCCTGCAGGTACCACCGTATGCTGCACAGCTGAAGGACGATGGACGGCAGCAGAACGAATGTTATTGTCATTGCGAACCAACCGTAGTAGCCTTGTAGAAAGTAGTTGGTCACCGCCAGAACCACATCAGAGACAATGTCGGCCAGGAAAGTGACTATTCCCACGACGACGAACAAGGCGTCAATGTAGGTGAACTCTTCCTCGTACAGCCAGGCGAGGAAGCGGTCGTACCGAGCTTTTAAACCGCCAGAACCCCGGGTGGCGGACGTTTGTTGACGGGGGGATGGGGACCTGGTGTTCGCATTTGCCCGTCCTGACGCCATGTTCTCACAGGTGTGCTGGAACATACCATTTCGGCCTGCTATACGGGGGGAGGGGCAGCGTCGTCACTGACCCATATCAGGATCGACTTTTCTGTGTTAGCCCAAAATGGGAACAAACATTGAAAACACTAGAGCACTGCTGGACTGCATCAATCCACAAGCGGCGTTCACTACATAAAGTAAAGCAAGAGATTATAGGGCACGAGGGCAACCTAGAAGGGCAACCCAAACAATATGGTCCCCTTGTAATGTTACTCTCTTTGGCGTATCGGTGGTAGCTAACACGTTAGTATTTCAGTGACTGTCGCTTCCCTCCCTTTTGCGTACTGTATTAACCCTTCCTATGCAAACCTTGACACATTTGGTGACATCATGTAATTTTTTTTGCTTGAACCACGGCGAAATTTGTTTTCTTTTAAAATGTTTAATAATAGCGGCAAATTCAAGAAATGACGTTATTTTGATGTTATTTTCTGAATAGATCAGCTAGTTCTCTTGGAACTTTTCAACGGTCAAAAATTCTATTTAGAACAGCAATATTGAATGTTTCATTTCATAGATAAACGTTAGCGTTCAAGTTGCCTGGGGACGGTGAAGTTGTTAATCGCTGGGGTACATGGGATACATATAGAATACAACACGGTGTATTCCGTATCGCCCGAGGTACCAGCCCGACCGCGCGTCGGATCGCCCGACGGCCGAAGGCCGGAGGGAGATCCGGTCCGCGGGAGGGCTGGGACCGAGGGTGATGCGGAATACACCGTGTTGTATTTTATTTATGTCATACCCACCCCCAAAAAACGCGCCTTTCAATGCGAAATGAGCGAAAATTTGGTGTCCCTAAACCCAAAAAATGCGACAACATATTCGAATTTCGAAATCGGTGCACGCGGTTAGGCCGAAATGCGTTCGAATCGTTCCACGGAACATTTGGAAGGCCCGGGCCGTACGCGGTAAGAACCCCCGGGCTGTACCGCTAGTTATCACACGGGCCGGAACACCCGTATCGAACGTAATCGCGGCCCAGGTAGGACATAAATATCTGTATCTACAGGTGTAACCAGTTGGGTCCGAAGCATCATGACCGAAAAGTCTCCAGCAGTGGCTACTTCCAAACAGTCATGTAAGTTACTAGTACGTCATCATCGCCGGCGCCCGTCGGTATTACGGGCGTCTTTGCAGACATGTACGTGGGCAAACGTTGATGCATTGATATCATATTTGGGAAGGGGAGGAAGGGTAAGCACTGCCTGGAGTATCGACTCAAGCTTCATGTTCTCCCATAGTTTATCTTGCCAGCACGTTTACAGGCTTTGATTGAACCATTCACAAGGAGGACAAACATTTCGTGACATTTGTGGGCATTTGTACGGCACTGTCCGGCGGTATATCATTTGAAGTTTTTAAGGATGTTTTTCGGACTGTTGTGGGTCAAACAGGGGAGAGATAAAAGAAAATGTCAAGCTAAACCTTTAGTCATTTTATAGTCGAACGTTTTCGATCTCTTCATTAGTGTCTGTAAAGTCCTGGTGTGTTTTCAAGCTGTTCATCATAAACCGTTGTTGTCACATTTGTTACAAGGAATTATCTCTTTTTACTCAGCCATTGTCGAAGTAGATCTAGCAGACTTGACGTGGGAAAGTTTTCAAACATCAGAGAATGTTCGCGATGGTTGCTTGGTTGGTGATCATCAGGAGCCATGTCAAGATGTTGAAACTGCGACCACGCAGCAGCCGTTCCACGTGCTGGTCTCGTCTCGCCCTCCGTACAAACTGGCCTTCACGGACGGAGAAAAGGCCGACGCTACCAGGAGGAGGAGGATGTTGAATGGATATGTTCAAGAGTGTTTCATTGGTAAGATCTAATGAGGGAAATGCTTGTACTCGTGCCGTTAGATCATGATGTACACTTCAATAAGAATTACAGCACTAGTCGGTAGTAAGTTGCCATTTCTTGTGTTAGACTGGTGCAGCAGCATGAAAACAAGAACTCTGACATTTCATGACTTCATGAAATATCTTTGGTGAGTTTTTGCGATTTTCTTGTTTTATGTTCATTGTTGTGATTTTCTCTACGTATACGCATTTTTTCACTGGCTCTCTGTCATCAGGCTCTGGGCCAACTTCTATGTCTGACGTTTTGTGGTCTGTGGTTAGGGAATTCCCCAGCCATTGTCTCCGTGTAACTTTACTATATTTTATATGATGCTTATTTTCTCTCTTTTCTTTTAGCAGACAGTGTTTATGAAACAGAATGTGACAGTGAGCTGGAATGGGACAACTATTTCACCACATACACCGACGATTTTGATGCCGAGACAATTTCTACAGCAGCAGAGATACACGGCAAGAGCAAGAATTCTGCGTCGAGACAAAAAGGCCATCATCCTTCCATTGTCAGTCCTATGTACCTTACGCTCCCACCCCCTGAGCTCATCTACCTTGAGTTGTTAAAGATGGACAGACAATCTCCTGTGTTGCAAAATTCTTCGTCCGTGTCCGACATGTGCTCGGGAACGTTCGGCCAACATACGCCTTCCATCGGAGGCACGTCGTCTGCAATCGGCAACACTTCGTCACAAATCGTACAGCCAGTTCGTGACGATATCGTAACAACCCAAAAGTGCTACTCGCACGTACGCCAAAGGTCTGGGGACATCCAGAAACAGGAAATTGGAAGCCAAGAAAGCGTTAACGCAGACGACAACGCGTGTGAAGACAACGAACCACCGTCACAAGAAACCGTCACAGGGAGGCGCGACGGGACCGGTTTCTCTCTTCAAAATGTGGCTGTTCAAACGAGCACAGACCTGACAGGCCGTTTGGTGTACAAGCTCACCTGTTACACAGTCAAGACAACGAAGAAAGTTGTACGCCTCCTCTGGTGGTTAGGATGACCACGGATATCGACAGGGGCAAGGTCAATGTCACCATGGAATTCATCGGATCGAGAGATCAATATGCTGAAGTCCTCATCAGTCGTCGACTGTAGTAGTAGTAGTAGAATGGTTTATTTCAATTCACTGAAAAAGTACAGCCCAGTTGCAGCCCGAAGGCCGAATTGTCAGGCTTGTTTACAAACAAAGTCATATCATCATACTACTTCAAATACATACTAAAATGTAAACGGTCAACTTATCTATCACATACATATATTATTATAGTCAGCGATATCATAGATAAAATTTGAGAACACGTTAAAATCACTCTAAAAATTGACAGGCAAATGGCTAAAATCGACAATAACGTTGTAGGACATTAAAAATTATTCTAAAATTGACAGGCAAATGGCTAAAATCGACGCAAGAATTTGTAACGAAGAGTGGAGCAATAATGTTATCAAGGACTATGAATTGTTTATCAAACGTGTCATGTGGGGGATGGCACTGTTCCTGTATCGATCTGTTTTACAACGCTGTAAGTTCAGTTTGTTCGAAGAGCGAGTCTGGCGACTGCTGATACTCTGTCTTACGGGTGGGAGGAAGTGTCGGTACATCTGGGAAGTCAGAAGTGACTTAGCAAACTTCAGAGTCAAGTAAGATCGGCGCGTGTGGAGTGTAGGCAAGTCTAGGAGAGAGCACCCCTCAGCGTAGCTAGTGTAATCAATTCCAAGTATAATCCGAACAGCCCTTCGCTGGATTCTCTCGATTTTCTGACTCAGAACACTTGTCAGGCCAGAATGCCAGACTGGGGCAGCATACTCGGTGATAGGGCGAATATAGCAGGTGTAAACGGTAACAAGATCCTCCTTTGGAACATGAAAGTGTTTTAGTTTTCTCAGCAAGTACAGGCGTTGGCTAGCTCTGTTACATACGTGTTCGACGTGGGCGTCCCATTTGAGATTTGCCTGTAGGATGACACCAAGGACTCTCATTACTTCCACTTGTTTGAGTTCAATGTTGTTGAGTTGGAGGGAAGGGAGAGGCCGGACAACTTTGCTGAACTGTACATGTAAAACTTTACATTTCCCAGGATGCAAGGCCATGCATTGATCGTGGGACCATCTGTCAAGTTCTGACAAGTCCTCCTGTAAGGTTGGCGTCGGTGTGGATTGGTGACGTATGTCCAGCAGGTTTAAGTCGTCCACGAATTTCCATCTCTTGGATGATGCTTGCCGTGATGCGCTGTTGATATAGGCAATAAAGATCAGGGGCCCGAGAATGGTTCCCTGTGGAAGACCACAGGTTACCGTAGTACTGTCCGAAAGCGCCCCGTGATATCGCACGACCTGTGTTCTGTTCGTCAAAAAGTCCGATATCCACCTGACGAGCGATGGGCGGAGACCTAACTCAATCAGACGGCATATGGCGATGTTATGGCTGACCCGGTCGTATGCCTTGCTAAAGTCTGTGGATACAAGTGAGCATAAAGTTCCAGGCTGATCGGAGGCCTTGAATAGTTCGTGAGTTAAATCCAACAGACAGTGGGTCGTCGATCTGCCTTTAAGGCATCCGAATTGTTGGGGGTCCACCTCGGGTAAGATATCTGACACGGCCCACTCGGCCACAAAACTCTCAGCAACTTTGCCTAGAATGGAGGTCAAAGATATCGGACGAAGCTCGTTGACCGTTGGAGGTCTGGATTTCGGTATGGGGACCACGGTGGCTCGTTTCCATTCCACCGGTGTTGTGCCTTGATCAAGGGACGAGTTTAGAATATCAGCGAGGGGAGTGCTCAATTCGTATGCAAATTCCCTTACAAGTTTCGTTAGGTGGCAGCTTTCAATAGACATGTTAGGTGTGCAGCTTTCAATAGACATGCTTCAATATGAAATGATTTTACGTTAAAAGGTTCTACGTTCATCACGACACGGTATTCAAATTTGACAATTCCCGTTATAACCAGTAGAAAAGTAATAGCCAGTAAGTATTTGGTAATTAAAACAGCATAGCGGCATGCCATGTCCAGTCAATTGCAATAAAATGAATAAATGAAAGTGTTCCAATATCCAATCAATAGCTATCAGGGCTTAAGACTTTTGGCAGGGTGAGAACACAAAATGAACTCCCACTGACATGTGACATTGCTCACCCCTGCCCATAGGATCCATTGGTACAATCTGCACACAATGAGCATTCCAGCACATACGCTTATCGACATAAAGACCTCCAGTACATACGGGCTTTGCTAAACCGATAATGGCTTCAGAGGGGGTTACGTTACCGTTACAAGGCAATAGCCTGGCATCGACTCATGGCCAAGAGACAAGCTGCTTTAACCTCAAGCGTCGTTATAAGGAGTTCAAGAGCCAGCTGTACACCCAAGAATTCAGCGATTGGGACGTGTTGTTCGTCCTTTTTGCCGTGGCAACTTTCATTGCTGACATCGGCACCGACCTTGGTCTTGCCTTGACGTATTTCACCGAAGCAGAGTACTGGTGGTTTGCCCTGACCCTGTCCTTCATACTCCTGCCGTCCTTAGTTCTCCAACTCTTCAGCCTGCGGTGGTTGTGTCAGGACAAGAAACCAACAGCGAGAAAAAGCCACCAGACATGGCTAAGTTGGATAGCGCGATGTACGCTGCATTTTCTTCAGCTAGGAACAGTTGTGAGGTAAGTGGTGTGAAAATCAACTGCGTTCATATCCAGTCATCCGTTTTGGCCATTTATTTCACCAAAATTCATACTTCATATTGTTGCCAGCAAGTCGCAACACGTTACATGTTTGTTGAGCACACGTTTGTGCAATGCACACGTAGTTGCTCTTAAAAAACAAATCTAGCTTTCTAGCTTCAGCCTTCCGAAACAAGGCTTACATTCCAAAATTGTGCTCGACAAACTTGTGCTTTTTGAGTTATGAGTTATGTGAATATTAATATTTCTCAAGAATTATATAGATCAAGTCATATTAATACAATATATACCCCATATACATCGATGGTGCTTATACAACCGAGTGCGGTCGCGCGGTCCAAAGTCGAAATAATAGATAACCAATCTGCCCAATATTTACAAATGGTAGGGCAATCAGGGTCATTCGGCTTTATATTCAGTTGGATGCGTTTCGTCGAAAAGGTTCCTGAAGTAGAACCGCTAGATCTACTAGAACATTTTACAGGTCCTTCAGCGAATGTCATAGACAAAGAACAAATCTCTTAACGTTTCGTATGTCCTGTTTTTTTTTAAATCATATCTTTGCATGGTGCATCATATGTCAGTTATAAAACCAAGGATATACACAATTCCTTTGTCGCTCAATGGTCCCTCGGCGATCACCGCCTAGTTAAACGGGGGCCTTAGAATTATTAGTGAACAAACCACTCTTCTTCTTCTCCTTACGATCTTGTAAAAACCGTGTAGATGTCTGGATGTCTAATTATTAGTAAACAAACCACTCTTCTTCTTCTTCTTACGATCTTGTAAACACCGTGTAGATGTCTGGAAGCCTTACGGATAGGCCACAGGAGCAGGACCAGCCGAGACCACGCCCTGCGGTCCTGGTATTACCTGGCCTGGGTAGCGGAGTGGACAGACGTGTGTCTGCTCAGGATGTTTGAAGCCTTCCTGGAGTCCGCGCCACAACTGGTGCTGCAGCTGTACATCATGCAGGTCAAGGGAGAGGCTGATAGACAAACAGGTACCAGTTTAGATGTGTTATCCTGAAACAACATAAACAAGTAATCGAAGATTTCACATCTCCGTGTTTTTATTTGAATATTCAACGATATGTATATGTCTGACTCTATCCACTGTCGCGCACATACGTACATGTACAATCCTCGTGTTCCTGGGTTCCTTCACCGTACCATTCACTTCCTAGAGCCAGCAGGGAGACCATTTTGATCTCCAGTTTGACGTTCCTGTCAGTCTGCGGTTATACCATTCCCCCTCAGTTCCGTTGACCCTACTGTATTCAAATAACTACGGACACACAAGCACGCCGAAAACAAAATCTCCTCACACGGAGCTAATAACGTTGATAACATTACCATTATTACTTGTAGAATCTTAACAAAAGTGTTACATGTGAAGCACCGTGTTTTGTTTCCAGTGATATCCTGCTGTATCTCCATCACATCCCTGGCCTCGTCGCTGATCTCCTACCACAGGTCATTACGTGATGCGCTTCCAAACGCGAAGATCATGAACTACACAGGCGTCATCCTCTGGTTTCTGTGGCGCCTTCTGACCGTTTCCTCGCGTGTTCTTGCCATCGCCGTTTTTGCACACCTGTTCACTTGGTGGATATTTGTCGGTCTGTCGTTGCATTTTATCTTAATGTTTGTCTGGCTGATATTTCAGAAGACAAAATTCTATGGTGGAGATAGAAGGGCTGAGGAACTTGGCTTTGACTTTATCATCGCGTTTTTGTACATTTTCTGTTGGTTGAACATGAAGGAGAGCCGATCCCGATACAGGGCGCTACTTTATTACTTGTTAGTCTACGCGGAAAACGTCACATTTGTCGGCTTGTGGTACTGGAAAATTACCAAAGTTGGGTCTCTCTATGCCGAACTAGTCCTACTTTGGGTCATGTTTGGCTTTCTGGGAGGAATCGCTTTCATGGCGTTGTACTATCTGCTTTGTCACCCCAAGAAAATTCCGTTTTACGTGCCACCGTGTAGTACTGAAGTAACACGCCAGGAGTCGTCTCTGCATGATATTCAAGACAGACTTGACTGCAAAGAGCAGGCCGTCAAACTTCCCTGCATCCAGGTGATGAGAGAAGACTGGCGACCGCGGGGTAAGCGTCCTAACCTCAGTCTTGGCTTCGCGTATCGCTGGAGGGCTGTAGAAGAGGAGGGTGCCAATGGCTGAAGCAGACCTTCGGACCTATCACAAGGCAGTTTTGTCTACAATTCTGCTCCAGCAGTCCCTAAGGGTAAACCTTGGGGGTCATGAATTAGACGGCTGGGAATTACACAATTTTAAAAGTTACACTTCAATAATTTTCCTTGTTGTACTGTTTTTCTTTGATTGTACAGTTTTTTAAAACTATGGTACTAATTAGTGAGTCAACAGGCATAAATTTTCCCCATAAATTTAATGTCAGAGCATGGCTGTAAATTATGACAATGTATGTTTCAATGATATAGATTTGTACATGAACATATTGATTGAAGTTCACATAAAGTAACTTACTGGCACAATATATGAATGAAAGCAAATGTAATGGGCCATATTTGCTGCAGCATGTTTTATGGAAACAAAATTTTGTCACATATTGTTAAGTACATGTGCCTTCTATCTTCTTTGGATAACTTTCACAAATATAGGCATCGCTGGAAGATAAGATTGGAAGAGATGGCACTTAAAACAGTATAACTATTAACACTGGTTGATTGATTGGTAATGTTGCTTATGAGTTAAGTCAATACCACTTATAGTTTAAAGGTCGTACATTGTTTACATTGTCCTTTTTAACGAGCTATCCCGACTTCAACGTTTACAAAGTCACCATAGTGATATATTAATCTAAATTGTTTTTGACAATCATACATGTTGTTCAACAATACACAATTGATGGTGTTGGAAAAATAAAAGTGTCACACACAAAACACTGGCTTGTACTATACAAATACTGAATGAAAATAAAATGTGGTAAAAAAAAAGAAATGGCTCTTTTTGGTATAACCTAACACACGTGAATAGATTCATAAACATTTCTACTTCTACATGTAGTTCTGTTTTCAAACTACACATGAAAATCTGTACTTTCCGACTTTGAACACAATGATATAAATACACATAAATGTCCCTACAAAATCTTTCCAAAGCATGATCATTACATTTGTTCTAAAACTAGACACATAAAATTGTGGACATGCAATGAAAATCAATGTATAACACATTTCCCTACCACTAAAATCCAGTACTCCTTGAACTCTTTTACATTATACCCATCAAAAAGTGTGACTGTACACACATTTAAGTTCATTTTTTTCACCCTTGTCCATGCATTTTGATACCCAATTTTTCATGTATAATATAAGCTTAAGTGCAAGCACCTATCAAGCACATCACATATCATAACTTTGGCATACTATTTGTATATGGATAAAAATATTCTTTCCTTCCTAGTAAAATATGACTCTGTCTCTTGCATTAAGTATTTCATGCCATGACCATATACTAAGACACAGAATTTTTGCAGTGATGCCGACAACACAATGCATTGATTGAACCATCTTGTACACTCATGACCATACCATTCTTGTCCTCTAACTAACTGACACAGGGATGTGTCTGGCCTATTATTTTTGCCCCTTTGCTTGCAGCTCCATATTTCTTCAGTTCCTTCTGCTGTGATGCATCACATTAAAGGATTATCATTACTTGAGTGATCTGGGAACCTTTTGCCATTCAAGCATTAGGGTACATGCAATAACAAGGGTTCACAGGTCAACTGCACATGTGCAGCATGAGGCATTGTGGGTATAACATATCAAAATTGAGATCTTTGACACATTACCCACAATTCATCTCATGTTTAGAACTATGAACTTGCTTTTTCTTAAATCATGCTTTCTTATATTCTATAACTCTATAACCAGTGTGTATGTGCCTGATCTATCCCAGACTGTGAATGACTGT